ATCCAAAGTATTTAGAATACGTTACGCTCAAGGATTCAAGGATTCTTTAGTGTTATTCGCATCACATGTTTACATGAGGTGGAATGAAATTAGGTGCACACGGTCCTGGAGTGAAAGAAACAGAATAACCGAGAAACAATAAAAAGAAAACTGTGATGGTCCTGGGTCGGTGACCCAGCGTTTTGAGTTTATTGTTATTATTTTCTAGTTTCTTCTGATTTTGTATTAATTCTTAGGGTTTGGTTTTGGTGTTCAGTGTTCTATTATTCCTACCTGTGTTCTTCCCCCGCCCCCCGTGCTCTGTTCATGTCCCTGAGTTTGTGTTTGTAAAACAGTTTGTGAGTTTCCTGTTCTATTTTGAAGGTCTGTGTCTCGTTGTGTCTCATTAGGTTCAGCTGTGTTCCCCTCTGGTGTATCATTCCCTCATTACCTTGTGTGTATTTATAGTGTGTGCCTGCCTGTGTTCCTTGTTGCTCCGTCTGTGTAATTTGGTATTCCCTGCGTCTCTCCGCTCTCCTTTCTTCGTGCTTTCCCTGCGTGTCTCCCCGTGTCCTTATGTTTTCAGGTTTGTTTATTAGATTTCAAAGTCTAGGTCTAGGTTTTAGTTGCTCCCTGTTCCTTATTTCTTGGTTTGTACGTTGCTTTCACTACAAATACATGCCTACTCGCACCTCAGCCAGTACCTGCATTTTGGATCCTTGTCTCACTACACCACACGACTGCTGCCCCAGCTGTGACATTACGGAGTGACCACAAACATGGATCCAGCGGACTTTCCTGGGGAGAGTGATCTGGCGCAAGTCCTACGCCTGGTGGAATGGATAACCCACACCTCAAATACAAGAGCGAAGATTGTGGGAATGAATGCGATTGAGGCAATCCTCGAGGGAAATCCCCATCTCCACCAGGCCAGAGGATTCACAGATCTAATTGCCGATCTACATAAAGCCCAGGCGGCAGTGCAAACTCGGGAATTAGCAGACTTCGTCTGGCAGCAGCGGACAACGGCTGACATCTAAGCAGCTGGCTGTGGTGAGTCAAAGGGACATTTTTTACACCACTTCTGTCTTTGGGACTGTTTTTTCGGGGGCTCTGTGTTTTGGGACAGGGGAGAATAATGACTCTGATTTCCCCTCTTCACCAGCTTAACTTCCGCTAAAATCATCATTACAGTCAGCCACTCAGGCTTCCATTCAGTCAGTAGCCCAGCCTACACCTTTACCCTTAGCCCGGTCACCTGTTTAGCCATTAGCCTCACCAGTAGCACAGTTATCTCTTCAACTACCTGCCTCCTCATCTACTCATTCTTCTATTTTGTCACCTGTACAACCTTCGCTTTCACCTGCCTCTGTACAGGAAGCTATGGCAATACAACGCATTAAGGACTGTTTTTCTACCTCCCATACAGAGCAGAGAGACAAACATATTAACACTAAACTGGTTTCTCAAAAGCTGGCTTGTTCTGAAACTTTTACTCACTCCAGGCCTCAGCTGACTCTGGACCCCTGGAGGCTAAGGAGCCAGCTGAGGACTGTGCCCGGCTGTTGCTGCCTGAGCAGGGTCAGTGCTCTGCGCAGCAGTCTGCCTCATGTTTGCTGGAGGCCCCCGTGCCTGCTGGTTTTGCTTTGTGTGTGCCAGAGGCCCCCGTGCCTGCTGGTTTTGCTTTGTGTGCCAGAGGCTCACACTGGCTCACACTGGTTCTGTGACTGTTCTCGCTGGGGGGGTCCAAGGAACCGCTCCAGCCTCCTGCTTTTGCTGGGGGTCCAAGAAACCGCTTCAGCCTTCGGTCTTTCCTGGAGTGTCCGAAGAGCCGCTTTGGCCTTCGCTGGAGGGTCCGAGGGGCTGCTTCAGCCTTCATTCTTTGCTGGGGGGGCACGAAGATCCGCTCCCGCCTCCTAGTTTCGCTGGGGGGGTCCGAGGAGCCCGTCCGACTATCACCATCGCCTGAACAGTGTGGCCACCGCTGCCTTCCGCGCTGCCGGTCTCCGGATTTGTGTCGCCGCCGCTGCCTTCCGCACGGCCGGCTTTTAGATTTGTGTTGCCTCCACAACCTTCTGTGGGGCCGACCCCCTGAACTGTTTCACTCTGCCATGGACTCAGCCATGGATCTGGAAGGCTGAGTCTTTTAGCCATGTTTCTGTGAGACAGATTGAGTAACTTAACTCATTGAGTAACTTAATGGAATACATTACAAAATACATGTTGGGCCATGTATTCTGTAATCTGTAGTGGAATAATACATTTTGGAATACCTTCCCAACACTGGCTAGAACCCAGAATGATGTAAAGGTGAGTGTATGTTGACCCCAGCTCAGCAGCCAGAGCCTCTTCAACACACAATAAAGGCAGTGATGAGCAAGCGCATTTGTATGTGTTCATGTTTTTAAAAGTCACTGTGACATTCTCTCCTAAGTCTCTTTCAATTTTTCTTGTTTTGTCAGTTTTCATGTTCATGCATAAAAACTAAAAGATCATATGTGTCCTCATTAGTATCGGGATTTGTGTTTATGTATGGAAATAGTAATTATGTGACCATGGTCATTTATGGCTGTTTCCCAACAGTTGATCAGGTGTTCCGTTGAAGATTATCTGGTTCCACCTGATTCGTACTCTAAGCCATCGGCGGGAGAAACGGGCAGAACAATTACATTCTTTTCCACTAGCACTAGTATAACTATCTGCTCTAATTAAATAGGTTGCCAACTGCAGGTAAAACAGAAGAAGAAATTGCATAATAGTCATGCTGTGAGATTTGAAAAAAGTAGTCAATCTGACCTGGGTCCTGGAAAAAATTCTGACCCAGATGAAGGCCCTAGCATGAGTAGTGGCCAGAAGAAAGCAAGAAAGGTATACTGGGGACAAACAGAGCCTGGTGCGAGGAAAAAATTTTGATTGGTGGTGTGCCATGTGATTTTTCTTTTGTGAAATATGTGCGATGGCTCCAAAAGGTTAGGAAACACTAATTTATGGAGTCACATGAAAGTAATGTACAGAGTAGTATATCATGAATCGCCTTGAGGCGACTTTTGTTGTGATTTGGTGCTATATAAATAAAATTGAATTGAATTGAATATCAAATTACTTGTGAGTAATTAAGTACTTTATTTTTTATACATCAATCAAATAAAAACAGTTACCTCATACATATACGCACTGGTACATCACAAGACCAAATTTCCTCTGCTGATCGAAAATTCTCATCATCATTGTTGAGAGATTTTTGAGTTTTGTGATTATGCTTAGTTGTAGCTTCATTTAAAGGAAGAAGAGCTGTTGAATTGAAACTACCACACAGGAAAAGGGAGTGAAAACTGATGTGCAGAGGAATGCTGTAACAGACATACTACCTCCTTTGTTAACAGGCAGGCTAACGGTCTCTCTCTCATTATATGGGAATGTCTGAATTTCTATACATACATACTACCTCCTTTGTTAACAGGCAAGCTAACGGTCTCTTTCTCCTTTTGTGGAAATGTTTTTGCCACTCCTACTTCCCTGAAAGCTTGGGTTAAGTATAAATAAAGAAAGCTCTGAAAGCCCTGGGCGGTCTTTCCTCTGTCTCACATTTGTCCTGCACTCGTCTGGTGCAGGATGGATTGGACGGTGAGGGACGATCGTCCATGTGTGCACATGTATAAGATATCTTGAGTCTGAGTTCCTTTGCCTTCTACAATTTCTCTTCACAATCATGGTGATTTAAAAAATGAAGAAATGATAGGGGACAAGATTGCCTTCTAATTTGTGCTTAAGAGTTTAACCAAGCAGTTTTGGTACCTACATATAAACAAACAGCAAAGTGGAAAAAGAAAAGCTAAAATCAAAAATTCTGTTCGTCCTACACTCCAGTTCTCTTTATACTGAAAGATAAATACTCTACAACATTAGAGAGACATATGATCAGATAATCCCAAGATAGACCAGAAAGAACACCCTTTTAACAGTTTTTCAGGCTTTCTCATCAAACAATACACTCACTTGAAGTGCAGCCCTGGACAATGAAAAATGACAAAGCAGTACCCTGTGCAGTGAAATGCCACTGTTGTTCTTAGTCATAACACATTGTCAGGAGGTGCTATCAAGAATGAGTACAAGGGGAAATGAACTGATCATTTAGGTTTGCAGGATAAATAGTAAACCATGAAATAACATGATTTACTCATAATGTAAAAGTAGTGTCATGGTTCTGGGTCATCCGACCCAGCATTTTGAGTTTCTTGGGTTCTGGTGATTGTTATATATTATGATGATGGTTTAAGGTTCATTAGTTAGTCTTTAGTTTATTCTGTGTTCCTGGGTGATTGACTATGTTTAGTTTCTTGTCTGTTAGGTTCCCCTTGTGTTTTGGTCTCTCGTGTCTGTCATGTCATCTGTGTTTACGTGCCTTTCCCTGCATGTTTCCCAGGTCCCAGTAATGCCTTTGTGTTTTGTCTCCCTTTTCCCTTTACATTTTCCCTCCTTGTGTTTCATTCTGTCTCCCCTGTCTGTCATGTGCATTCATGTATGTTCTCCCCAGCCCGTCCTGTCTCTCTCTCCCCCTCAGTGTCTCGTCTTTCTTAATTACTTCCATGTTTCTCTCATTGTGTCACCTCCCTTTTTCTCCTCAGTCTGCCTTGTTCCCCTGTGTGTTCCTTCCTCTTATCCCTGTATCATGCCATGTATTTTGGTCTGCATCTTAGTGTTTCCGATTTTATTTTGACAGTCTTTTGTCTTGTGTTCAGCGTGTTCAGTTTTGCTTCCCCTGTTGTTATGTGTTCCCCTCTGTGTGTGTATTTAGCGTGTCAGATTCCCTCTGTTCATTGTCAAGTTGTCTGGTTGGGTTGTCTCACATTGTAATCCTTTTGTAAATAGTTTTGTTCTTATTCCTTTGTATTTGTATTAACTTTAGTTAATTAGTTTTTGCCTTAGTGACTTTCAGTCCATTTACCATTTTATCAATTGCAAGCGGCGAGGATTCTAACAAATCTTCATTAACTCTCCATCCTGTCTTCTATTCTCCACAGCTGCTGTGGATTACCTGGCTAAGAACGTCAATCTCTCCAATCAGCGCAGAATGAAGCTGGCTGACCACTCAGCTGTACTGGGACTGCTGCAAGTTGAGACAGGCCAAGCATACTAGTACTTTCCCAACATATTTAAACAGCAGTACACCGGGTCACCAGCACAACCCACACTGCCTGCTACAACTCGCATATTCCAGAGAGCATTTGTGAGTGTGTGCCACAAACTGAGTACAAATGTGACTGCTATTTAGGTTTTTTTAAACATTATTTTATATTGGTGGGTGAAAGACTGAATGATGCAGTTTTGCAAGCTTTAAGTATTCTTCATGGAAACAACCAAACTAACAATGAGGAAGTGTTAGGAACATACTTTTTGCACCAAATTTCAGGTGTGTCAAACTTTTTAGATAACTAGAAATTTGTTATAAGCAATTAAATGTGAATTAAAAGATAATCTGAATGTAATCTTTGAAATAAAATAACTTTTGTATAACCAGAATCACAGTGAGGAAATAATATCCAGTTATTCTAATGTTACTTCTGGTTCTTTGCAAAATGTTCCAAGTGAAACAGAATCACTCTGCTCTTACTGCAGTAGTTCAACAAATAAAAAAAGGTTGAATTACAGTAAAAATGTGAATGCAGAGCACATTTTTAGGATGAATTTAAAAAAATTTAAAAATAAAATGAATTTATGGCAATGTTTCAATGAATTGTTAAAACATACTGATCTATTGCCTGTTTACATTTAGGAAAGAACCCTTTGAGTTACACACAACAGCTGACTACCCTAAAAGTCCCTTGTAGTCTCTGTAAATCTTTGATTGATATGATTCTGGTTGTGTTGTCAAAAAACGTATAGACCATGAAAGCTACCTCGAGACTATGCATGCTGTATATCTGACCCAAACAGAATTTAAGCCACTGGATTCAACAAATATGTTGATTTTTCTCCTGTCTTAAAGAACACACTCATCAAGAAAGATTGATCCTTGTTGACCCTTTTTATTTATTTTTAATTTCTTCCATGTGAAGCCTGGACGACTTCACCAATATTGGTGAAGTCGTCCGATGCCTACTCTAAGGAGTCCTTCTTGCTGAACAACAGAACATGGAAAAAAAAGATGAATGAGACAATAAAACAAAATGTCATAATTTGTGCATGTGTTAAGTTTGTGAAGAAGAATAACATTTCTGTAGCAGATCTATATCAGATAATTCCTCACGGGATGACTTATTCTGAGCTCTGTTCATAGCTGAATTCCAAGGACACCAAGGTCAAAACTGAGTCTAACATGTACTCTGATTAACTGCCATCATTCACATCTGCATCAATCACTAGTTTCTATATTTATTTATTTCTCTTCATTGTGGTTCCTTTAGTATCTACTCTGTTCATATTTACCATATAAACAAAAAATGATCTTTGTAGAACCATATCTGCAACTATATTTCTACTAATTAACATCTTTTAACAAATGCTTGTCTTCAATACATTTTTTGTAAAGTAGAACAGTGGACTGTAAATGATATCAAACAGACTGCTGATTTTAAATACTACAAAATGTTGCTGATCCAAGCAATTTAGCACTCAGAATTTAAAATTTTGTATTATAACACTAAGGATTTTGCCAATAAATATATATTTCTGTAATGTCACCCACCCATTCCCATGCCTAAAAAAAGAAAAGAAAATGCTACATAACCCCAAGTAAGTTAGATCTGATAAACCTAAAGATCCAAGTAGTTTAAATATTTTGATTAAGATGGTGCATACTTTATTTATCACAAATTCGTAACTTCACGTACCTTTTAACAGTAGTTTCTAACTCATAACTTATTTTTAATTAAGTTCTTAAATGGGATTATACTAATACAGTGGGGCAAAAAAGTATTTAGTCAGCCACCGATTGTGCAAGTTCCCCCACTTAAAATGATGACAGAGGTCAGTAACTTGCACCAGAGGTACAAGGTAGGATTTGTAAAGAATTTATTCGTAAATCAGGGTGGAAAATAAGTATTTGGTCA